TCCAAAAGCAGTCAGAAAGCCGAGATATGTGCCCCATACAGGGAAAGCAAATTTGTTCATGTTTTTGTTTATAACTTTAAAGGTAAAGAGTCTAGTTGAGTTAGGAATGGTAGGGGAAGGGCATCTTAAGAGCAACCTGTAAGAAATTTATAAAACTTACTGCAGCAACTGGTTTGAAAGAAAAACAAATCTCAACAAAAACAATATTCAGTTTAAGAAACTATCGAGTACCTGTTTATATTATAAACTAGCTCAAAAATATCTTGCGTTTTTTGTGGTGCACTTGATGATAGCCTCACTCCATATACATATATGCAACCATGTTGATGGGAACCATTCTGTATTCCCTCCTCTGTTTGCCGCTAAAAACCCTTGCCGCGTTAAGAGTGTGTTTGTGCAGGAGATAAATTATTTAAGCAACAAACTGCGCTTTTCACAACGCTTTTCCAGCAAACAAACGGGGTATATCTGTGAGGGAAAATCAATCAGAACAGAAAGCACTGCAAATAGATATACCAAGAAAACAATGGGTATCGACTAGGCGAGTTGACTAAACTATGCCTCAACCAAATCGAGTTTATTGTGCGGTGAGCAGACTCACTCACATTCACCGAACGGCGACAGCAGCTGCAGTGTGTTGTATGCATTTTTGATGTAAGTGCTCTGCGTGCGAGTGCGCACTGTACGGCGGACTTATACTCATGTGACACACTTTCGCGGCAGCGAGGACAAAACAAAACCGAATGGCGCTCATTTTTCAACGCGAACAGGGAGAAAGTGTTCGGTGCGGAAGTGGCGAAAGTTGTGCGTTACGTGCTGAGCACGCTACTGTGCAGCTATGTTACGTGGCAAATGTGCGGTGTAAATTGTTCATAAAGGACTCTTAAAGTCGAGCAGGACTTTAAACAGTCACACAGCCAGATATACATGTATCGATCTTATTCTGAAGAGCTCAATATCTCAAAGTACTTAAATTAATTTATTCAAAGCCCACTTCAAATAAGAAGTATTCCTCTCCATTTAAGTAAAGTATTTGAGCTGGAAATGCATTTCTCTCTGTGCATATTCGAGAGACAACAAGTTGAGCTTGTCGTTCCATAGTGGTTTTTTGCCTCTCCCCAGTTTTAATGCAATTTTGTGCATAGTTGGAAACCACTTTAAAATAGTTTAATGCGCCTATGAATACCGCCCATCCTTTGGTGCCCCATTCTATCCATCCATGTCCTCGGAAGAGGCTTACGCACACCCAACAAAACCCACACAAATCACCTTCCTCCTCGTCGACTCACTCGGTGCGAAGTGGTTTGCATGTTTAATGCATTTCATGCATGCAATTTAAGGCCAACTGCATTTTTGGTCATTTAAAAAATATGTGCAGGAGCCTCGACATGTGCCACTTGGGTCCTTTTGGCCCGAATGACCGGCAGCAAAAAAAGGAGGCGGCCACGTCTACGATTACGACTACGACTTGCCTGTCCTGGCCGAGAGTTTTGCATGAAATTCATATGCAAACTCTAATTTCGGAAGGCGCCTCAAAGGGACCAAGTGCATATCGCGTCGCCTGCAAGGCTCAGACATATTTATGCATGCCGAGATATTAACGCAGAGGCCAGCTCGTATTTCGACAGGCAGTCGAGCAACACGAGAGTGTCCTGGGCATAAAGGAGATTTAGGGCTCTCCTCCTGTCTAAATCTTTTTGTACCCCGGCACTTGCAAAGTGTCAGGGTATATTGTTCTCGCCCGAAATACTCAGTTTTGGAGACATATCGGAATAGGTGACTTATTAGGCATAAAAAATAAAGATAAAGAAAGTCCTTTCCAAGAAAGGAAGCTAGCTTCGTCCGATTGTTCCTATGACAGCTTTATATATATACATATATATAGTTCACGATTCGCCATGCTCCGAATCATATATTAGTAAAATTATATAGAACAATAACTCCATAGTTTCATAGCTTGCTTTTAAATTCGTTCCAAACAAGTCTCTCATATACAACATATGATTCTCAACTGGTTCTAACATCCCCGGAACGAAGTGACCGCTGCCGGCCAAGTCTCAGATATGTGTTGTGTTACAAAAGTTGCAAGTCATTGTTTATTAGTGTTCAAAGTTATTAACTGATTAAACATATCATATCATATGATACTTACTGTTCATAGATACTTAGTGATCATAGATACTTACTGGTTATACTTAAATACTGATCATAGTTACTCACTGGTCATAGATACTTACTGTTCGGAGTTACGTACAGCTCATAGTTAATTACTCGACATAGTTAATTACTGATCATAGTTTTATAAATCGTCCGATTGTTCCTATGGTAGCTATATATATGTGTATATATAGTCCACCGACTCGCCTTTCTTCGACTCATATATTAGTAAAATTATATAAAAGAATAACTCCATAGTTTCATTGCTTGCTCTTAAATTTGTTTCAAAACAAGTCTCGCACATCTGTGGATATGATTCCCAACTGGTTCTAACATCCCCGGAACGAAGTGACTGCTGCCGGCCAAGTCTCAGAAATGTGTTGTGTTACAAAAGTTGCAAGTCATTGTTTATTAGTGTTCAAAGTTAGTAACTGGTCATACATACTTACTGGTTATAGATTCTTACTAGTCATAGTTGCTTATTTTTCATAGTTACTTATTGACCTTAGTTACTTACTGGTCATAGATACTTACTGGTCATAGTTACTTAATGATAATGGTTACTCACTGTTCAGAGTTACTTACTGGTCATAGGTAATTACTGACCATAGTTCTATAAATCGTCCGATTGTTCCTATGGCAGCTATATGTATGTATATATATAGTTCACCGATTCGCCATGCTCCGAATCATATACTAGTAAAACTATATAGAACAATAACTCCATAGTTTCATAGCTAGCTCTTAAATTTGTTTCAAAAAAAGTATCGCACATCTGTGGATATGATTCCCAACTGGTTCTAACATCCCCGGAACGAAGTGACTGCTGCCGGCCAAGTCTCAGAAATGTGTTGTGTTACAAAAGTTGCAAGTCATTGTTTATTAGTGTTCAAAGTTAGTAACTGATCATATGTACTATGATCATATGTACTTACTGCTCATAGATACTTACTGTTCACATTTACTTACTGATCTTAGTTACTTACTGGTCATAGATACTTACCGATCATATCTATTTACTGGTGCTACTGATACTTATTGTTCAGAGTTACTCACTGCTAAATTAACTCATTCTTAATTACTGATCATAGTTACTTACTGAAAATAGTTACTTATTGTTTATTGATTTGTATACCTAGAATGCACATTTTAAAGATTTTGTTATAGGTATACGAATGCCTCAATCCTAAAAAAAGCCAACCCAGAAAAGATTTTCAAATTGATATAGATAAATTTTTGTTTTAGTTATAATACATTGAATGCTCGAACATATCCTTTAGGTATTTGCAAGTGGATAAACCCTTCAACTTCTTGAAGTTAATTCCCTTTCTTGTGTTTAATTGACATCTCTGAAAACTAATATGGCTAGTGTCTGTGTAGAAGGCAGAAATACTAATTGAAAACCGCCTTGAGGTACCACATTTATCCACAGTTGTGGCCCAGTAAAAAGTTACTTTCTTTTATTACGTCTGTAAGTTTGGGGCTGGCGATGTGCCGTGCGTCTTAAAGTTCATTTGGCTGCAAAATTTTTGCAATTTCACACAAGCGTGCGCTTTTGTCTCGAGACAATATAAAATCTGAGGGTCGACAAATTCGCCCGGGCCATGGTCCAGGTCCAGGTCCAGCATTAAAGCCTGACCAATTCCCACCCGCTTCCTTTTGTTTCCGCCTTCGACTGCGACCAGCCCGCACCATGAAATGATGATCTGCGAAAATGTCCTTTTATGTCCGTTGGGCGCTAAGGACCTGTAAAAGTGTCTCTTAAGAAACGGGGGGCGGCTAAAAGCAAAGACTCCCGCCAGGTGGGTCAATGGGGAGGAGTATCCGTGTCCGTGTCCGTAGCCATGTCCGTGTCCGGGAGTCTCGTAAAAGATAAAAGGAGGAGAGGAGCCCACAGAAAACGGAAAAGTGCAGTCGGCAGAGAGCTGAGGCAACTTTTGGCCTGTTTGCTGATGTTGCCGTTTTTCTTTTTTGGCTCCTTGGGGCGTCCTTTGGCCAGAGGAGACGCCTTGCTCCTCGGCTGCATTTCCTTGGCAGTTGTTGTAATCAAATTTGTTACGCTGCGTTGGTGTCCTGTTGCCGCCCCGCAGGACCTGCTCTTGAACTGCATTTAGCTCTAGCTCTCTGCCCGGGCATTTGTTACACCTCGCTGCGCTCATTTGTCGCCGATAGCCGGGCAAGGCAGCGTGCCTGGATCAGACTGCCATGGACCTGTACCCCGGTCGCCATAGAAAGGACCTTCGGTGGATGGCGGGTGACAGCAATTTTCACGCCGGCCATGTTTGGTGCGGGCGAAACGATGCCCCCGAGGCCGAGCGAGTGCGTTAACACACACTCTGGCCGGGACGGGGTCACACACACACACACACACACACACCGTGAAGCAGCAGCCGGGACGAGTGACTTCTATCCGACCATGGCCATGTCCTGTGGCCGTTCGGGAGCATGAGCAGCAGCGCATCGCTGTACGCGTTTATTGGCATCCTGGGAGTCCTGGGAGGGTCTCAACGCAAACGGTAAGGACGCGCTGCTACATTTTTATGCTAATTGAAAGCCATTCAGTTGGAAACAAATTACCATCGATGGGTGAGCTCTCTAAGCAGGAGTGCACACTGGATACCGATATGAATATTATAATATCTTAAAAATTGAATTTTGGATAAGCAACAATGCTAGAGATATTTCTGTGATAGCCCAATTATATGTTTAAATTATTATTTTGCTTTAATATCGTTAAAGCTTTGAATGGATATGCCACACGCCAGAAACTGATATGTATTTGTTCCTGTTAACAAGCTCAAACTAATCATTTTTCCACCTTTCCCACTTTGTTTCATTTACAGGTGGCAACAGCCGTTCGATGAGCAACGTTCAGCAATCGCAACAGGCCGCCCCCTCATCGTTGACCGCCCCCCAGCCACGTTTCCTGTCCCGCGGACACACCTATCGCGCCGTCGTCGGGGACACACTCGTCCTGCCCTGCCAGGTGGAGAATCTAGGTGAGTTCGATGTTGGGGGTATAATTAATCCGGCGTTATTGGTGCTTCGATGTGAAAATGCGATCATAAAAATACACGCGCTGGCCGAACAATAATAATAATATTTTCAATGAGAGACGGCGGCTCAAATTATGCAAAATATATGCAAATGTGTTTAGGCAAAATGTCACTTCACATAAATTTAATATTCGAGTGCGACAACAGCAACAACAAACGGCAATGGCGACAACATTTGGCCAACCAACAGCTGTCAGCAGATTGTCGTTTTGGCCCTGGCCAGCATAAACCATACGCATCGACACATTTTTCCCTTCGCATTTATAAATCGGCTGGGCAAATATGCAACCTCACACATATTGGTAGCAAATAAATTTGGCTGATTAACGTCGGCAGCCGCTTGTCACGGCCAAATGGAGTTTAGTGTCCGGATCCTATTCCCGGCGCTCGGTTCTCCGTACTCGATTCGCCACCAGTTTATAGATTTCGACTTTCGATCCGGTCTGGCAATCAAATGGCAAACTAAATGCAATCCATGCGTGAATGCAGCTCGGCTGGACTGCAAATAAAATGACATTTGATTGCCCATGGATGCATGAGCGGTTGCTGTTTGAGATGGGATTTAGATTCGCATTAAAATATGCAGCAGAAATGGCATAAATGTCTTGCATCCACTTCAATTAGCTCTGCGTTTGAAGTAGATACGAAAAATATCAAACAATGTCATGGAATATGATTGCCTAGCATGTGCATATTTTAATTAATAAGAATTCCACTCTAGCAGTTCACTGAAAGTCGTTGAACAAAGGACACTTTGAGGCAAGCACTTAGCAGCCTCGGTAAAATCGTGTTTGCCGGCCAACTAAGTTCATTATTTCGCTAAGTGCCGCCAGAACTTCCATCAATATCCTGGGTGGAGCTAGCTGGTAGCAGGTCGTGGACGTGTCCTGTGGCAGCAGGAAGAAACATCGCGGATAATGTGGAGCAGAACAGGACAGGGGGGAAAATCGAATTTTAATCAATTAAAGGCCAGCTGAATATTTACCCGGACTAAACAATTTCAACTAATATTGACCGAGCTGATGGCTTTCCCGAGCGCGACGCGTCATTATCGCTGCGACCGCTTTAATTTTGACCCAGTTGAGCGGGGCACAAGGAGGAAAGTTTAAATTGCAACTGCTGTTGACAAGCCAATAAATAAAATGCAATTAACCGTTCGCAGCAAATGAAAATAAATTGCACATTGATGGCAACGACGACAGTCTGCGCAGCATGCACGAAATCGCCTGGATTGACATCAGTCAAAGTTTTCCCCGCTTTCCGGGGCAGGGGAAAGGCAATGCAGCTCAAATGGATGCTACACGATACAAAAATTATTAAATTCATTTTTATTTTTTTATTAAAACAATCGAACATAAACAATCCCTAAAGGTATACATTGAAACAAGGACACAAAATGGGAGTAATATTAATAACAAGGGGATAGATTTGATTGGGATTTTGTATTCTTTTCTTCACTCAATTTAGTTAAATATTTGAAAGTTAAAGGCTTAATATTATATTCTCTTTTATTTATTTATAGTACAGTTTAGATGTGAATGTAACTTCTTTTTTTTATCAGTGCCCCGTGTGTGTTTCCATTTGTGTATGTTTGGTTTAAATGGAATTCCTTTTTTCGGAAAATATTTTCATTTAATTCGATTCACTTGCCGACACATTAAAGTGCAATGATTTCCCATTAACGCCTGATGTTTCGACTTTTTCTGAGGCTGACTCAGCCACAGCTCAACACGGATTTTCAATCTGCGCCTTGAGCTCGGATTTAAAGTTCTTTTGAGATGTATAATTCCCTTTACTGCTGTGCTATTTCGAATAGTTGCATCTTTGTGGCAATTAAATTCAAAGTACGTTTAAAGTTTTGTGTGCTAAATAATCAAACAGAGGAGTAGGAAGTGATTTACAAGGCTTCCGCGACATTCTCCCCGATGCGCTTTCCACTCTTTGTCCCTCTGTCTGGGGGTGGACGAGTACTTTTTTGCAGCACTGTCATCAATCCGGTTCAGCTTTTAACGACGGCTGACATGGCGAGGGTTTGATTGCAGCTTGCATGCACCGGGAGCCGCTGGCGAGGTCAAGCTGAAACAGCAGAGAACGCTTGGCGGGACCAAGCCCTTAATCTAATAAAAGAAATTAAGTATCAAATGGTCTATGAAGCCGTTCATTGATTGCCTTTCGCTACATGCTACATGCTACATGCTGCATGCTACAAGCGACACATATGTGCGAATCCAATACGTATACGTCATGTTGACGCCCGGTGAATGGCAGACAAAAACGGCGGTCAATATATACATATATTGAGCGCAGTTATAAATTGGATTTCCATTGGCCTGTAGATTGTGCTGGCCCTCCCGCAACCTATTGACTTACCAAATTGCTTTCACCTAAGGTCTATTGAAAAGGGTCAAAGGGGGGCTAGCTCGGGTGGCCACTCATTTGGCAATTGAAACCCATCTGCAGGGGACGGCTTATGTAAGATAGAGTCGACCCAAAAAATTATGCGAGGGCTCTTTTAACTTCCGTACAAAAATTCATATGTCGAAATTGACGGGCAATAAAATGAAATTTTATAGCATTCTCATTCCCGCTCTCCGCAATATCAATATACAGCCATTAGACTCTAATAAAATGCAGGACCCGGTCTGGCAAGGACTAATATGAAATCAAAATAAAATCCTCCACCGCCACCTGCCCACCCGTCCGCACAATCATCCCACAAAAGTGCCGGGCAATTGCTCCGCAGGACTCGACTCTCGACTCGACTCGATTCAATAATAATCGAGCGCAATAAAACGATGATTGCTCGAGTTTAAGCTTCCGGAATTGGGGTCTTTTTTTCCTGGAGTTGATTGGAGGAGGAGGAGGCTTGTCTTTGTTACAACTTTTAGGCTTGTTATTTACATTTGAAGCTGGAAGCATTTCCCTTGCATTCCATTAATAACCGGAAGCTGACTGAACACTCTCATTATGGATACACGTATGCATTTTAAAAAGCCCCATTAATAATGCATTATTTTAAGCCGTGATTATTTAATGGCAGCTTAAGGTCAGGAAAATGTCAGCTGGCGACTATATACCCACACATTTAAAAACACACACAACTTCACACTGCGGGGGTCAGTGATGCGGAGCAGCGGAGGTCAGGAAAAATAAAAACATTTCATTAAAATTTCATATTTCGAATGCTGAAAATCATATTCCAACAAGAGCTGCCCAGACCAGCCAGGCGCACGGAAGGACGAATGGGGCAGGGGCAGGGGCAGGGGCAGGGGCGGGGTTGCCACGCCCCCTTTCCACACACCCCCTTACACTGGGTAAACGTCGTCGACGTCGTGTTTACACAACTCTGATTTTGGTTTTATAGCACGTACATATAACGTATAATATGTCCGTGCGGCGCTTTTCCACGTTTATTTTTTTAATATTTCCATAATAAATACAAGTTCATAAATTGTTCGAGGCCGGCGGAGCGGAGGAGCTGCGGACCGATGCTCTCCGGCTCATTCAGAACTTAAGCACACAAAATAAATAAACATATTATACGCCACTTAATCTCATTTAGCAAATTCTCGTTTGCCTTTTTGCGGCGGCGACGACAACAATAAAGGCGGCCAGACCGAAGGCAATACAGGGACAAAAACTAAAGCGGTATAAAATATGCAAAGAATAAAAAAGCAAAAGAATTATGCCAGCAACATCTGCGAAATTATGTCATTTATATGAGCAAACATACTAAAAAATAGATGAAAACAACAACACCAGCAGCAGAACCTCCTCCGGATAGACAAACAGAACTGAATCTGCAGAACGAGGGCGAGACGCTGGACCCGAGATGGCAGGATACAGATATGTGTATCCACAGGACGAAAACTATTTCAGCTTGCCTGGAACTTTGCCTGGCCCCGCAGTGACAGCTGAAAGTATATGTCTACGCTGGTAGCAAAATGCTTCATGTTTATATTGCGGCATTTTACAATAAATTTTGCAGGCAACGAGAAGACACATTTCACTCTATATTTTTCATCTGCTTATACATAGGACCTCTCCCTATCTCCATCTCTATCTCTATCTGTATCTGTATATGTATCTGTATCTTTCAGGCAATTTCGTCCTTCTGTGGCGACGGGGACCAAATGTGCTCACTGCCTCCAACATTATGGTTACACGGGATGAGCGCGTAAGACTGATAGATGGTTATAATTTAGAGATATCCGATTTGGAGCCCCAAGACGCCGGGGATTATGTTTGTCAAATCAGTGACAAAATAAATCGTGATCAAGTGCACACAGTTGAGATATTGGGTGAGTAAGCGTCGACATGTTGGCACAGTATTACTGGCACGGATTTACATTTGACAAGTGTGCCGCAGTGCATCAATTAGCCACCGATTTGAATCGAAATTCCTCTCTTTCCACAGTGCCACCTAGCGTCCGGGCCATACCCACATCCGGCCAGTTGCAGGCGAGGAAAGGAGGACCCATTACGCTGGAGTGCAAGGGATCCGGTAATCCGGTGCCATCCATTTACTGGACCAAGAAGGTTTGTTTCACTCCGCTTTTCCGCTCTCTTTCCAATGCCATTTAAGTGAATTTCATTTAGTTTAATTGAATTTAATTCTCGCAACTGTTTCGCATCGTTATGTAAATTTAAATTGCGTTCCCTCCCAGCGGGCTGTCCGTGCTTACCAGTAAGCTGCGTGGGGTCAGTTGTTAAGCACTTTCCCCTTCAGATTTCACTTTCACTTCAGCTTCAGTTTCAGTTTCGCTTGGCCAGAGTTCGCTCGCTTTTAAGCTCTTTAGCTTGGCCACTTCTCAGAATTTGGTATCCTACGGGAAAAGTTTCGTCTCGGCTTTTTTCATGGGCCCCTTTTAAGGCTCTGCCCAAGTTGCTTATTAATTAAAACTGATGCGCTTACATTAAAGTCGTAGATACGACGACTGCGTGTGTTCGTTTGTTTGTAGTATAAATCAACAAAATATCCCATCACTCAAAGTTTTCAACACATTCTCCCCTCGCCTCGACAAACAGGCGAGCAAACAAAAAGTGAAATGATAAATCGCAAGGCGGCAGCATCTACGATTGCGGCATGTGGCTGTAATGGGAGGCAATTATGAATTCAACAAACACATAATTTTACGCATGAGGCAACAAAGGGATAACATATTTCCCAGCTATTCAAAGTGGGCCAAAGTGGGCCCAAAACTGAGAGCAGGAGAAGGAGCAGGAGCAGACGAGGAGGCAGGAGCAGGCAGCTCGGGAATTCATGCCGACTTATATGACTTGCAAATGTGGATGCGATGCGAGTCGGTGGCAATTAGTTCTCGCTGCTAATTTCGAGAACTTCATCCACTTGCCAACTGGAGCAGCACAGCAGAAACACAGCGAGCGGTCCCCCAATACATCAGTTTCCCATTACGCTTTGTGTAGAGCACGACGACTACATATATATTCGGCAGAGGATCCTACATAGGTTCTGACTCTGAATCTGGCATTGATTCGAGGCCAGAGAATTTACACTAAATCACTGTCAGCGACAGCAACTTCCAAAGGTGGCAGAGATTGCAGGTTGCCGTTCGGTAGCGAGGGAGCCAGGCCTTTGCTGTGTGTAGTCAAGGCGTAATTAATGCGATTCATAGACCTACAAAAGTATGCTACCCAACAGATAGCTTTGCTTCGGGGGAGCAGGCATGCCAGCTGGCAACCGGAAGGTGACCCAGACACTGTCAGTGTCACTCGCACAGAGAGCACACAGGCACACACACAAAGGGGCTACACATGGAGAAATTTAGTACATACTGGGATTATTATCTTGATTTTTATTTATTAGATAATATAAGGAGCTGAAGAAAGATTTAATTTTAGAAATTGTTAGGACTAACAAACTGCAAAGGTAGACAAACTTCTGTTTATCTTTTTTAAGTTCCATTAATTTATAAGTTTAAATGGTTATACATCCATTTTATTTCCAGTGTGACTTTTACTTCCATCGGCAAACAAACTTGCAATAAAGCAAGTGTCGTTGCAGGGGACTCCACGAATGTCTGTGCACCTTATATGTCCATGTCAGGGCTTCCACATTTTGGGTAAAAGTCTCGTTTGCATTACTGCACTTTGGCGCATTTGACATTTCCGTTCGATTTGTTTGCTCCTAGGCAGGTACGATGAGTTAGACCCGCCTCCATCCAGGAGATTCCTACTGTTTCTGCACCTGCTCACCAAAAGAGGAGTGCCATGTCACCCCATTCCATTTCAATCTGGCCCAGCGTTTCCGTCGTGTTTTGGGCTGTCTTTGGAGCTCACGTTGACACGTGTTCCCCCTGGGCGTTACTTGGCCCAGGCCAGAGCCAGAGATCCTGGAAAACCCCACCAAGCCAAGCCGGTTGCCAAAGAAAATACGCTCGCAGCCAGAAAGATGCCTTGCTACAACGCCCCTTTTGGCCCTTTGAGACTCGCTTCGATGTCTGTGTTTACATCCAGTTTTGCATGCTCCACATCCAATATTTGTGCAACTTGGCTTTTGGCCCGTGTCCTCTGCCCTCTGCCCCGGACCCCAGTGAAGGCGGAGCGAGTTTTTCGTCGGAAAGATGTCTTCATTTGGGTTTTGTTTCGTTTCATTTCGTCTCCATACTTTTTCGCTTTGCCAACAGCATTTGTCTTTTGACATTTGCTACTTGCACTCTCGCCGACATCATTTTTTCCCAAGCCAGAAGCTATCTCCGATTGATTCAATTTGTTGCCACTTTATTTACAAAGCGTCTCAGACTACTCCAGCCCCATGTATTCCCTTGTCCTTGCAGAGCGGCGCTAACAAGTCAACGGCAAGGATCGGCGATGGACCCATATTGACCCTGGAGAAGCTGGAGCGTCAGCAGGCGGGCGTCTATCAGTGTACCGCCGACAATGGTGTGGGCGATCCTGTGACAGTCGACATGAGGCTGGATGTGCTGTGTAAGTATTTGCAAAAAATATATAACTTATACTAAGAAATGTATCCAAATGGCTTAATAATATATCAAAAAGATGGATTGTTATAATATAGATTTATATTTTAAATGCGAGTCCTTTGATTCCTTCATTAAGAAAAGAATAGAGCATCTATTGAGCAACTGAAAAACTGATGCAAAAAAAAAACCTAACAAAATTTCAAAGACGGCGAAAAGTGTTTTAAGTCATTCTACTCTCACAGGACTCGTAAATCAGTGCTCTGAAGCTGCTGACGGCAGCAGGAATCCAGGAACTGCTGTGCAGATGCCAGATACGCGATACTAGGTGCATGCAACACTGCGGTACCACCGATTCGATATAGACAAATGCCAGTGCAAAAAAAAAATAAAACAATTTGGGGCGGGAATCGTTGAAATGCAAAGAGAGAAAAGAGCCGTAAGCCGCGACCAAGCGGAAGTCTTAGCAACTGTATATAAATTGATTTTTGACTGTAATCAGATTGCTTTCATGTGCTAAATTCCATCCTCTTACCCTCTTCTCGTTCTTGTTCTCGTTCTCGTTCCCGTTTTCGCTTTCATTCTGGCCGGCCGTGTCTTTGTCTTGGCCAACTCTCCATCATGCAACTCAACATCGTGACGGATGCCCGGGTATCTCTGTATCCACGTCCTGGCTGGCGCTGCAGATCCCCCGGATATACAAGTGGAGAAGTCGTGGATACACTCGGGCGAAGGATTCGAGGCGAAACTCGTTTGCATTGTTTACGCTGATCCAGTCGCAACGGTTTGTTGGCTCTTTGAATGCACCGTTCCATTCGTTCCATTGTGTCCGGATAGTTTTTGTTATTTTTTGGTGGATTTTTAGATTATTACGATTACGGGCGGCAGAGGAGAAGGAGGAGCTCCAGGAGCTCTCCTGCCTGCTAGCCTGCTTTATGCAAGAGAACTTTGTTTTCAGGTCACTTTTTCCTGTTTTTCAGTTATTCAGCTTTTCGTTTATTCCGCCCTGTTCTATTCTGTTCAGTTGTAGTCCTTTCTGTTTCGTTGTGTTGTGTCCTGCGTCGTTGTTCGTTCATGTTTTGTAGTATTGCTTGCAATTTCTTTTACCGATTTCTTGCCGGGGCAAATTAATGCCATTTTTATTTGGCCAACTTTCGTTCCGTTTCGGTTTGAAATGAGGCAGGAAGAACTTGCTGTGCAAGTGGGTCAAATTTTGAGTTGAATTTATTAGTTGCAATCCCGGTTGTACTCCTCCGGCGTGCTCTTCATCATCATCATCATCACCATCATCATCATCGACGTCACACCGACATTGACATGTATCCAAGCTAATCCCGGGCACTTGCCCCCGTTTTTCCATCTTCACGCTGCAGGTGTCCTGGTACCAGAACTCATTTCCAATCCAATCGACCGACAGACGCATCATGAACACCAGGGCCAACCGGCACACGCTCACCATACGCCACATCCAGCAGGAGGACTTTGGCAACTACAGGTAAGAGTCCTGGGGAAATCCAGGTGAACTTCGATTCGCCAGGAGATGGAGCCAACTTGTGGCGCACAATGAACTTTGTCGGCCAGCGTTGATTTAGTCAATTTGGCAACTTTTGCTACAACTTATTTCACTTTTTTGCCAGCCAGTTAGCAGTTCAAAGTTCCCACTTGTCTCAGTCCCGGGTCCGCTGCTTTATTTGCTATATATTTCCTATATATATATAGTGCGGGTCCTTCGAAGGGCTCCACGTCCGGCTTTGGGGAATTGTCTGTGCGGGGCGTGTCCCACCCATTTTGCGGACAAACAAGTTTTCCACATCAATGTCAATCTGTCTGAAACATATTAAAGAAGCGGAAGTTTCGCCATGTTGACACAACATTTCATGCACAAAGTTTTAGCCGTCTTCCATGGAGGGGGTGGTGGAGTCCAGTGGGAGCTCCCAACCACCTGGCAGCCACCCACAGTGAGTGGCTTTTGTGCACACGACGTGTCGACGTGTTTGGATTAGTTGAGTCGAGTTCAGTTGGCTTGCCACCAACCAACCAGTCAGCCAACCAACCAGCCAGCCACTTGCCGGCTGCCAGATCGATGCGGGCCAACGGGGCGGATGGATGGAGGCATGGCGTATGAGTAATGTCGACAGAGTGTAATGCAAAATTAAAAGAAAATTACGTTTCTGGCCATGCAAAGTGATTGCCGGGAAAACATGACGCGACCAGAAATTAACAAGCATAAATAAATGCCAAAACCCAAAAACCAAGAGCCAATTAAGCCAATTAACCATTTAAGTCGCGACTTCTTTAGGCATATATACATATGCTATATATATTTTTATGCTAATGAGAAATCACTTTCAGCTGCGTGGCAGACAATTCACTGGGACGATCCCGCAAGTACATGGAGCTCTCTGGACGCCCGGGACCTGCCGAGTTCTACTCACCCAAGTGGGGTCGCTCGCCGGACAGTTACAATCTGACCTGGAAAATCGATAGCTACCCGCCGCTGGAGGAGGTGCGTCTGCTCTACCGTCGAGTGCTGGTAAGTTCAAGAGTCTCTCTGGCCGCGGAACAGAGGGAACAAGAGGGAAGAGGGGCGGGAAGCCACTGGGAATCCGATATGAAAGGAGTACATTCAATTAATTAATTGTAAAATATGCACAAAGCCGGATCCCGCCAGACTGACATCTAGACAAAGGAGTGAGCACTGCTCCACGCCCCATGGATGCCATGAAAGGCAATCCGATACCTTGACGATGCGCCTTGTCTTCGGGAACACGGTGCTCACTAATGAAGCACGTGATTAAAATTACATTCAGCGAGAGGTCTAAAAAATCGAGCACCGAAAAATTTCGCACAAAAAGAAGCTCACAAAAAACTGAAAACGAAGCAATTATGAAGGGAAATAAAGGAAAGTAGGCGGATCGAGGTTGGGGATAGAGAGTATACATAGTAGATAGATAGACAAAAGTGATTTTTAATATCCAGGTAGACAGGTAGACACATGAAAATGTCGCTTAATTGCGACTTCAGGCGGCTCGCAATCGGCTCAGATGAGGCGGGGGCGCGGTAAATTTAATGAGATTTCAACTCACGCACACTTGACGATGAATGTCAAACTGCAGTGGCCTGGTCCTGTGCGGAGGATAATTTCTGTGTTTTTATCCTACGCCATTGAAGTGCAATTATTGGAGGAGGACTTTCCGCCGGGGCTGGCGAACGAGTGGCCTCCGACGCGCGGTGGAGGCTTAATTGATGTGATAGCTGTCATAACTTGATCGGGCGCTCGCAGCGGAAATCATTTGGTTTCCGCCCACAGGACATGAAATTAATTAAGCAACCAAAGGAAAACTGTCAATGGTGGAAGCCGGCACTTAATTTGGCTCTTCTTCGCCTTCTCCCTTATCTCTTCCTTTCATGTACGCCTCCCGTCCCGTCCAGATGAACGATTCGTTCCAGCAGCCGGGCAGGTGGCACGACTTTATCCTCACCCCGGAGCACCGGCCGGCCTCGGAACCCCTGACACACATCATGTCCTACACCATTAAGAATCTGCATCCTGGCGCTTACTACGAGGCGATTGTGCAGGCCAAGAATCGCTACGGTTGGAACGAGGTGAGTTTGGGATCTGAAACTGGGACTGATGATGCCGAAAAGCCGGCATAAATCTAGTTGCGCTCGGTGCGACAGGGCGGCTACTTAATCTTGATTTTGTGCCACTTTTCCGTACTCAACCTTGCCGCCTTACCCGCCTTCCCTTCTCCAATCTCACCCCCGCAGGTCAGCGATATATTTCAATTTATCGTCGCCAGCAACAACGTGGACATTGGCCCCGAGGACGCAGAGGTCGTGGCCAGCTCCAAGTCGCGTAGCAACAGTGGTGCCGTCGCCAGTCCGCCAGGGTCCTTGCCCCAGAGCCTGCTCCTGCACTCTGCCCTGCTGCTCGTCCTGGCCTTGAGTAATTGTCAGTTCGACAGACGCCGCCTGGGCCTGGGATAAGCGGTTAACTCGGCAGGAGAGGATCGGCACGAGGAGGACGAGCAGTCACAGCACTGGACACTCCTCCGGAGACGCTCACAAACACACCAGCAGACTGGCGGGGAAGCACAAAAACCAACGATATGAGCTGTAAGATACAGAAGAAGTCAAGAGAAACAAAGTTCACAGCTAGTTTGGCTATTTCTAGAGGATTTTTGATCATTTTACCTTAAATTGTGTTCCTTTTTCCGGTCAGTCGGAGAAATAACCAAAGAGCAGAGCGAATGCATCACATTAGAAGCGAGTTAATTGAAAAAGCACGATGATGGAGTGGAGTGAGGGAAATAAAATGAAAATTGAACCCATGTACATAATTTTTTAAGTGTTTGTCCACGAATAAATTAGCACACACGCTGAAACCAACATCAGACCGGAAGATGGTTAATGGAAATTGCAATTTGAGAATGCAAATCCACTATCGAAATCCAAATCCAAATCCAAACCCAAACCTAACCATCTCCATACCCCCATACCCACGGTAGAATAAGCCACTCGAACTAGGTCATGTAAATAAGCATTAGATATCTGAATGTGAACTGCATTTTACTTCATAAAAGGTCGGGGGCTCCGTGCCCGACGCAGGATGTGTATGTAAATTAAGCAAACATTATATAGTGATATTATTTAGTTGCAAACGAAACCATAAATAACAAAATATTGAGGCAGAAAGAAAAAAAAAACACGAAAACCACACACACACCGCAGGATGTTAGTATGTAAAGTATTTGCCACTTTTGCGTTCAGATTTGATGTCCATTTCGATTCCATATTTCGTTCCACTGCCATTCCTTGCAGGTGTAGTTATATTTTAGTTAATAAGCGCACCAGTAACCAGTAAAGCATAACATAACGTAACAGCAATTCAATGTAATGTTTTTCGATGTAAACTAGGACGTAAGCAAACATGTTGTACCACCAAGAGCGGGGGAGCGATCGGATCTCAGCTAGTCCCCAGTCATTCGGAATATGAGTCGGAGTATTTGAATCTGAATCTGAATTTTGCATACATATTTAGCGGCACGAGTGTCACCTGTAAATACATGATAAATACGGTACTTATTGAGTGTTACAGAAACCCAGAGCAGGCATTTTATCAGCTTTTGCACCTTTCCAATTGTACGTACGACCCGAGTCGAGTCCGTACTGTTTCATTTAGGGCACACAAACAATAGAGGTCAGCGCTCTCACTTGTATATTTTATAGGCCGCGGCCCCTCGAACTCGTCTACAAATCCTGTACTTAGCATGTCGAACGAAGCCAAAAACCGAAACCGAAACTGAAACCAAAAACAGAAATAAATCTCAAGCAAAAGCGTTACAATTTATCTACATAAATGTGTATGTGTGTACCTTACATAGCCAGTTGAATGCGGAAGGAGGAGTCGTATGCATTATGCAGATTAAACAGACACAGACAGACGCGGAACCTACACACACATGAGTATAATTCAGATAAACCAGAAATAGCGTCATTAAAAGTGAATTCATTAATTACTAACTACACATAGTACGATGCTAATTGTATGATTAATGCGCATAAGAAACCCTAAACTATTCAAAAATAAAGTAAAGCATTAGATGTAAACTAAACTATGCAAATGTATTTTCATTTCCCCCCGAAGGGCTCTCATTACATCCTGGAGAGCTCCTCCTTGAGCTCAAGCCTTGAGTTTGCAATTTATGGTAAATGTGTCACTTCCTTTGTGACGACCAGAGCAAACTTTCAGCAACAAAAAATACATAATCATCGATGGACCAGGTCTTTTGTCGATTTTTTGACTTCTTTTTGGAGCCCGGAGCCCGGAGTCCTTCTAAGCCCACTTTCAGCGATGACCAACGGAGAAGGACATCGGACGTGGGGACATACGTGCACGGTTTAAATTATTAAAAGTTTTGCATTTCGCAAAAGTTTATGCATGAAATTTCACAGGACGCACAAACTACTTGAGCCGAGGGCCGAGGGCCGAGGGCTGAATGCCAGGAGTTTCATTTGGATGGGGGCGAAGAGGATGTCCGGATGCCAGTTACTGGTTTGCCAGTTGTCGCTGTCCACGTCGCCATTTGCATGTCGCAGTGCGTCGGGGATTGGGCCAGGGCCCTGGGCGGAGCCCACTTGACGCCCCCTTCAAGTTTTGCAGTTACCAACAGTAACTGCAAACTTAGTGACCATTATGCATGCAAGTCTCAATATATTGCACATGAATTTTAATGAAAATTGTGTCGTTGAACCGAGCCTGCCTGCCTGGGTGTGCGGAAAAGGGAAAATGCTGAATAGTAAATGGTAAATGGTAAAGGAAAAATGGAGATTCGAAGGGGAAAAGCGAAATATGCTAGGGATTTTTTCGCAAATCATATCGCATAATTGGAAAGCCACAAGCGACCATTTCCAGCTATTTGCATTGGCTTTGGCCAGTTGGCCCCCGGGACAACTTTTGGCGCATATTAATTAGCTCGTTTATCATTTGAACACTTTTCTGACAGCCAGCGAGCGAGCAGTGCACTCGAAGCAATGTAAAATTAATTAAGTTGCCCCACAAGGAAACTCAGCGTCCCTGCTCTGCGCATCCTCCTCGCTCGCCGGCTGCCATTGGTATTCATTTCAAAAGGACTCACAACTCGCAGAAGCAATAAAGAATCGCTGGGAGAAACTGTTAACTAACGAAAATGAAATCATAATTAATATTGGTGAAATTGGCAAAGTGCAGTGCTGCGAAGCTACGGAGCTACCGAGCGGTACTAATACCCCAACAGTTGCGATTCCGCAGACAGGAGGAGGACCGAGCCAGTCAGCCAGTCAGCCATTCAGTCAAGGCGTCATGGCGAGCGGAATCCAAACTTTTATAATTAAAATTTTGCAGCTCGACGGCAGCGGCAGCATTTTCTCGACTCTTTCTTTTTTTCCCCAACCAACATTCGGCAAAAGAATAAAACGCTACCAAATCATAAAGCTACATGGCGGTAAAAAGTTTGCCGTTCAAGTGCGAATTAAATTAATTTTCAGCTGATTTGATTTCTCCAACAGTTATTGCAAAAAATGCAAGAGTTTCGACAAAAGTTGATGCTGCCCAATGAAAAGGAATGTCCGTCGAATAAAGCCAAATTGTGCAGAGAATGCAAATAAATTAAATTAGCTGGGGCAAACAGAGGAAACTTAAGAATTCCATATATGTATTGTCCGGAACAAAGGCAACCGCACGCTGCCAACTATGGCAACCGGAAGCGATGTGTCGAAAAGGCCAGTCTTGTGAGTCCTTGCCAGCTCTCCGTGTCCTGTTCCCATCTTCAGTTGCCCGGGCAACGCACAATAATTCAATGAAATGCGTACGGAGTGGAGCAGTGAAGCTGCGGGAGCGGCTGTGTTGTGACCAAACAAATTTACATAATTCTTCCGGGCGGGGCAGCCTGATATTTATGGAGGAAACTTAATGGCGGTTTAAAACGTTGCAGCCGAGAGAAATCGCTGTAGGATCCCGGCTCGGCTCCTTACAAATACACACACACATAAAGCACACAACACCCCTGCACAGGCATTATGCTAAAACAAATCTACATAATTTAGGAGTAGGCCGCCAAGAGTAGACGGCAGGACAACATCCCACTCCCACCTCTCTCCAGATCCACATCCACATCCCCATCTCCGCCTGTCATTGACGCACAAATCAAAAGGCAGGCGGCTCCTTCGGAGAAAATTGTTTGCGGATGCTAAGAAAAATTTGTACATCAATCGATTTTGTTTGATTTTTTCCCAGCTCGGCCGGTGCCCTTACTTCTGCGTTGAGTTGGCCACAAGAGATTTGCATAATTCATGGCGCTGATGGCTGGTGAGGATTGCGGAACGGGACGAAATCTGCCCGGCCCGTCTTGGATCCGGATCCGGATCGGGAACCGGCGGTGAGTCCGGGGCTGTTGCTGAGTGATTGGGTGGGGCGGCGGAGATGTGTCTGCCTGATTGCTTTGAGTGGCTCATTTTGCACAGCCCGCTCCAGCGATGTTGATGGTAAATTGGAAAAGTATGTCTATGGCTACCACTCGCCACCCCTCCGTCCTTCAGCTCCTGCTCCTGCTCCTGCTCCTGCTCCGGCTCCGGCTCCTCCAGAATTCCCCCAAAGTCCCGACATCCAAGGCGTATAATTTTCGCCTCGGCCTGCGTGCGGCACGTGAGTACTCAGTGCTCCTCCTATATAGTTTTTTAATCAACCTGCAACATGCAAAACCAATGACAGTTCCCCTGTCTGCGTGCCAAAAAAGAAAGAAAGGCAAACAAGTTGGACCGTCAATTTCAATTTATATTCTAATGACATATTGTTCCTGCCATTTTCAATTCCGTCGCCGCGCGTGTGACATAACGCAGAGCCACAGGCAGAGCCCAAGCCAATGCCGACAAGGAAAATGAAAATGAAACCAAGAACCGGTGCTGGCACAAATTTAAAAACAATTTTTCTAAACTTGCCCCAGAGATTTGTATTATGTTTAACTCATTTTCATAAAGCGCGGACAAAACCGGGAATTATAATGCGACAACGGCAGCTGCAGGACCTGGAGGAGGAGCAGGACGAGGACCAGGAGCAGGAGCAGAAGCCTCGAACAGCCGGCCGCGACAAAGTTCAGGCAGAACAAAAGTTTATCTCGTACTTTGTTTGCATACACAAAGCCAAAAGATGAGGCGTTGCAAGGCATGAGGAGCAGGAATCCGCGACGGAAACGCTCCTCTGTGGTGGCTGCCAGTCCCTCCTCCAGATCTCCTCCAGCCACCAAAACTTGGATAAAACAAAGAATCCCCCAGCATCCCTGCGCCTGGTGTCGTGCGCCGGGCGTTGAGCGATTTCTTTTCACAGAGATAAATGCCAGAAAGTTGGGACAGGCGCAGCGGCAATGTTCTTAAGCGCGTTGATGTACACTATCAGAAAAATGTACTATCAAAACGCACAGCTTATTAGAAGGAAATTGTAGGAAATTCTACGACCGAACAAATGAATAATAAGACCATTGCAAGTGATTAAGGAAACATATTAAATTAAACGATTAGATATTAGATGTAGTATCTTATCGTCTTAGTTTTCTCCAGTGTGCTATTCCATTGCAATCTGGTGTCGCTCCGGTGGCTTGCAGCTTGCTGAAAGTGAGGCTCATCCTGCCTCCGACTTTTGTTTTAAAGCCTCACCGACTCTCTCCCGGACTCGGATGGGCCTTAAGTCGGCCATGTAAAATAATTTACTGCGCTGCATTGCAAATGACATTGACTTTTCGCCTCTGCAGTTTTTCATATTTCGTGTGGCGTTCGCGTTCGCGTTTTGCGTACCGCGTCACGCTCGCTTCCGCGATGTTGCCTGTGAGGTGCACATTTCGAGGTGGCTTGCATGCCGTCCGGTGGCCAGGGACCCAGCCAGCAGTGGGCCAATTGACCAATGGTTCCTTATCAGGCGAGAACATGTTTCCATGGAATTTCATTAGGCTTCACCTTCTTCCCATTCTCCCTCAATGCGAGTCCTAATGGTGGGTTGTTGGCCTTTTCTTTTTTTATTACGTAGCCGCTGGTTGTCGCCCTGGCCGCGTTGGCTAATGGCGTTAGTTCGTTAGCCAAGCGATAAGATTTGGGCTAGGAAGGGAAGTCGGGGAAGCCCGCTTCCAATCAACGGTGTTTGTTGCAGGAAGCTCTTTAATTATGAAAAGGCCAACAATGTACATAGTTTTCCTGGAATATCTGCTAAAAGTCTGGAGCAAGGCATTATAAATTAAGTGTGCTTAAGGCACAGTATCAGAGTCATACTATAATTTTTTCAGAGCATTAACTGCCATATTACTTGTCACAAATTTCAGTTACTTTTACACGTTTTATGAAGCGTTCTCAAAATTCCAAGTATAAAAAAAACCATAATTAAATTTTAGTAATTTTATAAACGTATTGTACGTAAGGCAGAATGATGGGTAACGTTTTTGGAGAGCAAGCAAACTCCATGGAGGCCATCGCCGCATACAATAACTTCCTTTGTACCTATGGCTTGCTCCACACCGAGATGCTTCCCAACGATGCCATCCAATGTGCCACCCGGATGTGGTGCAACTTCACGCCGGAGCAGCAAATGAGCTACGCCCAAATGGTGAGTGAGAAATCAAATCACTCTTGTATCTTGTATCTTGTAACCTCCATTTACAGTACCCTCGCCACCCCAACTCTTTTGGCTATAAAATGCGCTCCCAATATGTCGAACCACCTATGGCCAAGCTCAAGGTTAAGGCGCCTGCCAACAAGTGTCGAACCAAAATAAAATCCACTCCAACAGCGGTGAAGAGAAACCAAGTGAGCAAAACCAATAAGCGAAGAAAATCAGTCAAGCCGAAGGCAAAACCGCATCAGGAACCCCCCTCATCAGGGTTCCGAGAGTTCTTTAGGCGACTCAGAAACCGGCACAGGGGAATCACAGAGTCAGAAATAGTCAAGAAAGCCGCCAGAGCCTGGTGCAAGATGAACCAGCGAGAGCGAGAAATCTTCCTCAAATGAGTGGAGTCCCGCCAGATCATGTAGCTTCTCTCATCTCTCGCCCCGGCTGCCGGCTCAGACGCCACTCAATCAATGCTCCTCCGGGCACGGCCTCTTGTCACGAGAGAATCCACTTTGGAATCAAGCTTAGCCAAGCGGTTACACAATCGCCGCCAGTTCCGCGCCCCCGAACACATGTACTCCGGCACGCAAAGGGGCAGCACGGAAGTGCTCCGAGTTCGGAGCAACAATCGGCGGCGGAAAAACAAACGAAGCCAAAAACAGAGCCACAATCATTCACATTTAAATTAACATTTCCCGCCACCGATTATCCTAATTGGGAGCTGGCCTTAGCCTAGTCGTTGCTACTCGTCCTGGTCACAGATGTGGAGCATTCTCGGTACTCGGAGCTCGTGGTTCGTCGTCAACATTACTCAGGCGCATTCACTTGGGCGACGGCACGCGAGTCTGTTGAAAAATGGATTTAATGCGACGCAAAGCAAGCGAGGCCTCATAAAAATAAAATGGAAATTAATCTTATTAGCATTTCGTACAAATAGCAAGGCATTACCTCGCGTATGGCGGCAATTTGTAATGCCGCAAGGCCGGAAGGAGGTCTGCAAATTCTGTGAGCGGCAAGGCGGACATGCGAGCAGTTCGTTTCGGCGGGGGCCACGCCAAAAAGTGATTGCATAATTACAGCTCTGCCAAGTGGCTGCAGCTAGATTTCTCTCAGGATCAGATCATCCCGAAACGAAAATTAAAACTAACGACTAGTACGGCTGGAAGACATCCCGACTCAATTAGGAGGCCCCGCCTGCGGCTCCAAGTCCTTTTTTTTTGGTCAAGACTCGAGGTCAGTATGGGCCATACTCTCCCAGAGGTTCGTGTTTTACTATTGCGACTTTATTGCAACAAAATGGTATTTTAAGTGCAAGCTATAAAAATGATTTATTGGGATAGAGAACAGCCCAAGCCTGGGGCATGTAAAATTTTACCATTTCGTTTGGGGCCTTAATTAGAATGGGTCAGGGGTCGAATGCCTTGACCACAATATGCACGGCGGCTTACGGTAGTATAAAGAACATTTTATTTTGGGTCTTTACGTAGCATATAAGTGCATATGTGAAGATTAATGTATATTTACTGGGTATCTGTAGCAATTTCTTAAGATGGAAAGTTCTTCAACTCGAAATTCCCTTGCTTGTATTTGCTTATGTTTATGGTAGGTAAAGGAGGTAAATTCCAAAACAAATTCATTGTTGAATTTGAATTGAAGAGTTATTTAACAGTTAGTTAGGATCGTGGGTTTGAATGCGAATCGATTACAAATAAGCAAAAAATGCATTAATCTCGAGCACCTCAAATATACCTCTAGATATACCAAATTTTGTGTTAAAGCGAAGATTTTCCAATGCGTTCAAATAGGTTTATATGGTCGGAAATGACTCCTTCACTGCGTTTTAATCCTCTGACTGAAGCTATACTCTGCAAAAAGGTATAAAAACAGACAATTTTCTTAAATAATCAGAGTTTTCCGAACATCATAATTAAGCCAAAATAGCATTAATTTTGATTCGGAAAGCTTTTCTGTGCTAGTTTTTATAGCACTGACAAATCTGCATACTGCGTTTGTTTATGCTGTTTTTAGTTTCTGACTAAAATTATAAGAACCTGCAAAAAGGTATAAAAACAGGCAATCTTTCCCAAAAATCATAGTTAAAAAAAACTCATAACTAAGCCAAAAATTCATTCATTTTAATTCGGAAAGCAGTTCTAAGATAATTTTTAGTAGATTAACAAAGCTGCATACTCAGTTTTCAAATTTAAAGATTCAATTTTCTGTCAAATTTTGGCAATTTTAATGATGTAACCCCTTATAAAATTTTCAATTTTCGGAAAAATGTCAAAAATTTATTTCTTGACCGGACATGGCTAGAACGACAGGGCTGTTGATGCTGATCAAGAATATAGATAGTTTATAGGGTCGGAAATGACTCCTTCACTGCGTTTTAATCTTCTGACTGAAGCTATACTCTGCAAAAAGGTATAAAAACAGACAATTTTCTTAAATAATCAGAGTTTTCCGAACATCATAATTAAGTCAAAATAGCATTAATTTTGATTCGGAAAGCTTTTCTGTGCTAGTTTTTATAGCACTGACAAATCTGCATACTGCGTTTGTTGATGCTGTTTTTAGTTTCTGACTAAAATTATAAGAACCTGCAAAAAGGTATAAAAACAGGCAATTTTCCCAAAAATCATAGTTAAAAAAAACTCATAACTAAGCCAAAAATTCATTCATTTTAATTCGGAAAGCAGTTCTAAGATAATTTTTAGTAGATTAACAAAGCTGCATACTCAGTTTTCAAATTTAAAGATTCAATTTTTGTCAAATTTTGGCAATTTTAATGATGTAACCCCTTATAAAATTTTCAATTTTCGGAAAAATGTCAAAAATTTATTTCTTGACCGGACATGGCTAGAACGACAGGGCTGTTGATGCTGATCAAGAATATATATAGTTTATAGGGTCGGAAATGACTCCTTCACTGCGTTTTAATCTTCTGACTGAAGCTATACTCTGCAAAAAGGTATAAAAACAGACAATTTTCTTAAATAATCAGAGTTTTCCGAACATCATAATTAAGCCAAAATAGCATTAATTTTGATTCGGAAAGCTTTTCTGTGCTAGTTTTTATAGCACTAACAAATCTGCATACTGCGTTTGTTGATGCTGTTTTTAGTTTCTGACTAAAATTATAAGAACCTGCAAAAAGGTATAAAAACAGGCAATTTTTCCCAAAAATCATAGTTAAAAAAAACTCATAACTAAGCCAAAAATTCATTCATTTTAATTCGGAAAGCAGTTCTAAGATAATTTTTAGTAGATTAACAAAGCTGCATACTCAGTTTTCAAATTTAAAAGATTCAATTTTTGTCAAATTTTGGCAATTTTAATGATGTAACCCCTTATAAAATTTTCAATTTTCGGAAAAATGTCAAAAATTATTTCTTGACCGGACATGGCTAGAACGACAGGGCTGTTGATGCTGATCAAGAATATATATAGTTTATAGGGTCGGAAATGACTCCTTCACTGCGTTTTAATCTTCTGACTGAAGCTATACTCTGCAAAAAGGTATAAAAACAGACAATTTTCTTAAATAATCAGAGTTTTCCGAACATCATAATTAAGCCAAAATAGCATTAATTTTGATTCGGAAAGCTTTTCTGTGCAAGTTTTTATAGCACTAACAAATCTGCATACTGCGTTTGTTGATGCTGTTTTTAGTTTCTGACTAAAATTATAAGAACCTGCAAAAAGGTATAAAAACAGGCAATTTTTCCCAAAAATCATAGTTAAAAAAAACTCATAACTAAGCCAAAAATTCATTCATTTTAATTCGGAAAGCAGTTCTAAGATAATTTTTAGTAGATTAACAAAGCTGCATACTCAGTTTCAAATTTAAAAGATTCAATTTTTGTCAAATTTTGGCAATTTTAATGATGTAACCCCTTATAAAATTTTCAATTTTCGGAAAAATGTCAAAAATTTATTTCTTGACCGGACATGGCTAGAACGACAGGGCTGTTGATGCTGATCAAGAATATATATAGTTTATAGGGTCGGAAATGACTCCTTCACTGCGTTTTAATCTTCTGACTGAAGCTATACTCTGCAAAAAGGTATAAAAACAGACAATTTTCTTAAATAATCAGAGTTTTCCGAACATCATAATTAAGCCAAAATAGCATTAATTTTGATTCGGAAAGCTTTTCTGTGCTAGTTTTTATAGCACTAACAAATCTGCATACTGCGTTTGTTGATGCTGTTTTTAGTTTCTGACTAAAATTATAAGAACCTGCAAAAAGGTATAAAAACAGGCAATTTTTCCCAAAAATCATAGTTAAAAAAAACTCATAACTAAGCCAAAAATTCATTCATTTTAATTCGGAAAGCAGTTCTAAGATAATTTTTAGTAGATTAACAAAGCTGCATACTCAGTTTTCAAATTTAAAAGATTCAATTTTTTGTCAAATTTTGGCAATTTTAATGATGTAACCCCTTATAAAATTTTCAATTTTCGGAAAAATGTCAAAAATTTATTTCTTGACCGGACATGGCTAGAACGACAGGGCTGTTGATGCTGATCAAGAATATATATAGTTTATAGGGTCGGAAATGACTCCTTCACTGCGTTTTAATCTTCTGACTGAAGCTATACTCTGCAAAAAGGTATAAAAACAGACAATTTTCTTAAATAATCAGAGTTTTCCGAACATCATAATTAAGCCAAAATAGCATTAATTTTGATTCGGAAAGCTTTTCTGTGCTAGTTTTTATAGCACTGACAAATCTGCATACTGCGTTTGTTGATGCTGTTTTTAGTTTCTGACTAAAATTATAAGAACCTGCAAAAAGGTATAAAAACAGGCAATTTTTCCCAAAAATCATAGTTAAAAAAAACTCATAACTAAGCCAAAAATTCATTCATTTTAATTCGGAAAGCAGTTCTAAGATAATTTTTAGTAGATTAACAAAGCTGCATACTCAGTTTTCAAATTTAAAGATTCAATTTTTGTCAATTTTCAATTTTGATTCTTATATTTTCAATTTTCGGAAAAATGTCAAAAATTTATTTCTTGACCGGACATGGCTAGAACGACAGGGCTGTTGATGCTGATCAAGAATATATATAGTTTATAGGGTCGGAAATGACTCCTTCACTGCGTTTTAATCTTCTGACTGAAGCTATACTCTGCAAAAAGGTATAAAAACAGACAATTTTCTTAAATAATCAGAGTTTTCCGAACATCATAATTAAGCCAAAATAGCATTAATTTTGATTCGGAAAGCTTTTCTGTGCTAGTTTTTATAGGACTGACAAATCTGCATACTGCGTTTGTTGATGCTGTTTTTAGTTTCTGACTAAAATTATAAGAACCTGCAAAAAGGTATAAAAACAGGCAATTTTTCCCAAAAATCATAGTTAAAAAAAACTCATAACTAAGCCAAAAATTCATTCATTTTAATTCGGAAAGCAGTTCTAAGATAATTTTTAGTAGATTAACAAAGCTGCATACTCAGTTTTCAAATTTAAAAGATTCAATTTTCTGTCAATTTTCAATTTTCGGAAAAATGTCAAAAATTTATTTCTTGACCGGACATGGCTAGAACGACAGGGCTGTTGATGCTGATCAAGAATATATATAGTTTATAGGGTCGGAAATGACTCCTTCACTGCGTTTTAATCTTCTGACTGAAGCTATACTCTGCAAAAAGGTATAAAAACAGACAATTTTCTTAAATAATCAGAGTTTTCCGAACATCATAATTAAGCCAAAATAGCATTAATTTTGATTCGGAAAGCTTTTCTGTGCAAGTTTTTATAGCACTAACAAATCTGCATACTGCGTTTGTTGATGCTGTTTTTAGTTTCTGACTAAAATTATAAGAACCTGCAAAAAGGTATAAAAACAGGCAATTTTTCCCAAAAATCATAGTTAAAAAAACTCATAACTAAGCCAAAAATTCA